CAAAAATGGTGCCAAACGGTTGCAATAGCTCCCTTGAGAGGTTTGGCGGTCGAAACAGAAGGCTTTTTATCACAGGACAAGAAATCAGCCCTCGACAACTTCACCGGGAGAAAAAGATTTTTTTGTTAAAATCCCTAAGCCCCGGGGTCACAATTTCATCAAAATTTGACTTTTGGATTTTCACTCAAAAATGGTGACAAACGATTGCAAATGCTCCCCTGAGAGGTTTGGCAGATGAAACGGAATGCTTTTTATCACAGGACAAGAAATCAGCCCTCGACAACTTAACCGGCAGAAAAGATTCTTTTGAAAAAACCCTAAGCCCCGCGGTCACAATTTCATCAAAATTTAACTTTCTGCAATTCACTCAAAAATGGTGGCAAACGGTTGCAAATGCTCCCCTGAGAGGTTTGGTGCTCGAAGCAGAAGGCTTTTTATCACAGGACAAGAAATCAGCCCTCGAAAACTTAACCAGCAAAAAAGATTTTCTTGAAAAAACCCTGAAGCCCCGGGGTCAAAATTTCATTAAAAATCTGACTTTCGTCAATTCACTCAAAAATGGTTCCAAATGGTTGCAAATGCTCCCCTGAAAGGTTTGGCGGTCGAAACAGAAGGCCTTTTATCACAGGACAAGAAATCAGCCCTCGACACCTTAACCGGCAGAAAGAGATTCTTTTGAAAATACCTCTAAGCCACGGGGTCACAATTTCAGCAAAAATCTGACTTTTGGCAATTCACTCAAAAATGGTGCCGAACGGTTGCAAATGCTCCCTGAGAGGTTTGGCAGTCGAAACAGAAGGCTTTTATCACAGTACATGAAATCAGCCTTCGACAACTAAACGGGAAAAATAGATTCTTCTGAGAATACCCCTAAGCCCCGGCGTCACAATTTCATAAAAAATCTGACCTTCTACAATTCACTCAAAAATGGTGCCGAACGGTTGCAAATGCTTCCCTGAGAGGTTTTGTAGTCGAAACAGAATGCTTTTTATCACAGGACAAGAAATCAGCCCTCGACAACTTAACCGGCAGAAAAAGATTCTTTTGAAAAAACCCTAAGCCCCGCGGTCACAATTTCATAAAAAAATCTGTCGTTCCGCAATACACTCAAAAATGTTGCCGAACGATTGCAAATGCTCCCCTGAAAGGTTTGTTAGTCGAAACAGAAGGATTTTTATCAAAGGAAAAGAAATCAGCCCTCGACAACTTAACCGGCAAAAAAGATTTTTTTGAAAAAATCCCTAAGCCCCGGGGACACAATTTTATCAAAAATCTGACTTTTGGCAATTCACTCAAAAATGGTGCCAAACGAATGCAAATGCTCCCGTGAGAGGTTTGGCGGTCGAAACAGAAGGCTTTTTATCACAGGACAGGAAATCAGCGCTCGACAACTTAAACGGTAGAAAAAGATTTTCTTGAAAAAATCCCTAAGCCCCGGGGTCACACTTTCATTAAAAATCTGTCGTTCCCCAATTCAGTCAAAAATGGTGCCAAACGGTTGCAAATGCTCCCCTGAAAGGTTTGGCGGTCGAAACAGAAGGCTTTTTATCACAGGACAAGATATCAGCGCTCGACAACTTAAACGGCAGAAAAAGATGTTTTTGAAAAAATCCCTAAGCCCCGGGGTCACAATTTCATCAAAAATCTGACTTTCGTCAATTCACTCAAAAATGGTTCCAAATGGTTGCAAATGATCCCCTGAAAGGTTTGGCGGTCGAAACAGAAGGCTTTTTATCACAGGACAAGAAATCAGCCCTCGACACCTTAACCGGCAGAAAAAGATTCTTTTGAAAAAAACCCTAAGCCCCGGGGTCACAATTTCTTCAAAAACTTGACGTTTTCCAATTCACTCAAAAATGGTGCCGAACGGTTGCAAATGCTCCCCTGAGAGGTTTGGCAGTCGAAACAGAATGTTTTTTATCACAGGACAAGAAATCAGCCCTCGACAACTTAACCGGCAGAAAAAGATGTTTTTGAAAAAATCCCTAAGCCACGGGGTCACAATTTCATAAAAAATCTGACTTTCGGCAATTGACTCAAAAATGGTGCCGAACGGTTGCAAATGCTCCCATGAGAGGTTTGGCGGTCGATACAGAAGGCTTTTTATCACAGGACAAGAAATCAGCCCTCGACAACTTAACCGGCAGAAAAAGATTCTTTTGAAAAAATCCCTAAGCCCCGGGGTCACAATTTCATAAAAAATCTGACGTTTCCCAATTCACTCAAAAATGGTGCCAAACGGTTGCATATGCTGCCCTGAGAGGTATTGCAGTCGAAACAGAAGGCTCTCTATCACAGGAAAAGAAATCAACCCTCGACAACTTAACCAGCAAAAAAGATGTTTTTGAAAAAATCCCTAAGCCCCGGGGTCACAATTTCATCAAAAATCTGACTTTCGTCAATTCACTCAAAAATGGTTCCAAATGGTTGCAAATGCTCCCTGAAAGGTTTGGCGGTCGAAACAGAAGTCCTTTTATCACAGGACAAGAAATCAGCCCTCGACACCTTAACCGGCAGAAAAAGATTCTTTTGAAAAGACCTCTAAGCCCCGGGGTCACAATTTCATCAAAAATCTGACTTTTGGCAATTCACTCAAATATGGTGCCGAACGGTTGCAAATGCTCCCCTGAGAGGTTTGGCAGTCGAAACAGAAGGCCCTTTATCACAGGACAAGAAAACAGCCCTCGACAACTAAACCGGCAAAAAGATTCTTTTGAAAAAACCCTAAGCCCCGGCGTCACAATTTCAGAAAAAACTGACCTTCTCCAATTCACTCAAAAATGGTGCCGAACGGTTGCAAATGCTTCCTGAGAGGTTTCGTTGTCGAAACAGAATGCTTTTTATCACAGGACAAGAAATCAGCCCTCGACAACTTAACCGGCAGAAAAGATTCTTTGGAAAAAACCTAAGCCACGGGGTTACAATTTCATAAAAATCTGACTTTCGGCAATTCACTCAAAAATGGTGCCGAACGGTTGAAAATGCTCCCTGAAAGGTTTGGCGGTCGAAACAGAAGGCTTTTTATCACACGACAAGAAATCAGCCATCGACAACTTAACCAGCAAAAAGATTTTCTTGAAAAATCCCTAAGCCCCGGGTCAAAATTTCATAAAAATCTGACTTTCGTCAATTCACTCAAAAATGGTGCCAAATGGTTGCAAATGATCCCCTGAAAGGTTTGGCGGTCGAAACAGAAGGCTTTTTATCACAGGACAAGAAATCAGCCCTCAACAACTTAACCGGCAGAAAAAGATTCTTTTGAAAAAAACCCTAAGCCCCACGGTCACAATTTCATAAAAATCTGTCGTTCCGCAATACACTCAAAAATGGTGCCAAACGGTTGCAAATGCTCACCTGAAAGGTTTGTTAGTCGAAACAGAAGGATTTTTATCACAGGACAAGAAATCAGCCCTCGACAACTTAACCGGCAAAAAAGATTTTTTTGAAAAAATCCCTAAGCCCCGGGGTCAAAATTTCATCAAAAATCTGACTTTTGGCAATTCACTCAAAAATGGTGCCAAACGAATGCAAATGCTCCCGTGAAAGGTTTGGCGGTCGAAACAGAAGTCTTTTTTATCACAGGACAAGAAATCAGCGCTCGACAACTTAACCGGCAGAAAAGATTCTTTTGAAAAACCCCTAAGCCCCGCGGTCACAATTTCATAAAAATCTGTCGTTCCTCAATTCACTCAAAAATGGTGCTGAACGGTTGCAATTGCTCCACTGACAGCTTTGGCAGTCGAAACAGAAGGATTTTTATCACTGGAAAAGAAATCAGCCCTCGACAACATAACCGGCAAAAAGATTTTTTGAAAAATCCCTAAGCCCCGGGTCACAATTTCATCAAAATCTGTCGTTCCCAATTCACTCAAAAATGGTGCCGAACGGTTGCAAATGCTCCCCTGAAAGGTTTGGCCGTCGAAACAGTAGGCTTTTTATCACAGGACAAGAAATCAGCCCTCGAAAACTTAACCGGCAGAAAAGATTATTTTGTCAAAATCCCTAAGCCCCGGGGTCACAATTTCATCAAAATCTGTCGTTCCCCAATTCACTCAAAATTGGTGCCAAACGGTTACAAATGCTCCCTGAGAGGTTTGGCGGTCGAAACAGAAGGCATTTCATCACAGAACAAGAAATCAGCCCTCGATAACTTAACCGGCAAAAAAGATTTTTTTGAAAAAATCCCTAAGCCCCGGGTCACACTTTCATCAAAAATCTGACTTTTGGCAATTCGCCCAAAAAATGGTGCCAAACGGTTACAAATGCTGCTCTGAAAGGTTCGGAAGTGGAAGCAGAAGGCTTTTTATCACAGGACAAGAAATCACGCCTCGACAACTTAACCGGCAGAAAAAGATTCTTTTGAAAAAATCCCTAAGCCCCGGGGTCAAAATTTCATAAAAATCTAACTTTTGTCAATTCACTCAAAAATGGTGCCGAACGGTTGCAAATGCTCCTGAAAGGTTTGGCGGTCCAAACAGAAGGCTTTTTATCACAGGACAAGAAATCAGCCCTCGACAACTGAACCGGCAGAAAAAGATTTTGTTGAAAAATCCCTAAGCCCCGGGTCACAATTTCATAAAAATCTGACTTTCGGCAATTGACTCAAAAAAATGGTGCCGAACGGTTTCAAATGCTCCCATGAGAGGTTTGGCGGTCGATACAGAAGGCTTTTTATCACAGAACAAGAAATCAGCCCTTGTCAACTTAACCGGCAGACAAAGATTTTTTTGAAAAAAACACTAAGCCCCAGGGTCACACTTTCATCAAAAATCTGTCGTTCCCCAATTCACTCAAAAATGGTGCCGAACGGTTGCAAATGCTCCCCTGAAAGGTTTGGCGGTCGAAACAGAAGTCCTTTTATCACAGGACAAGAAATCAGCCCTCGACAACTTAACCGGCAGAAAAGATTCTTTTGAAAAGACCTCTAAGCCCCGGGGTCACAATTTCATCAAAATCTGACTTTTGGCAATTCACTCAAAAATGGTGCCGAACGGTTGCAAATGCTCCCTGAGAGGTTTGGCAGTCGAAACAGAAGGCCTTTTATCACAGGACAAGAAATCAGCCCTCGACAACTTAACCGGCAAAAAGATTCTTTTGAAAAACCCCTAAGCCCCGGCGTCACAATTTCAGAAAAATCTGACCTTCTCCAATTCACTCAAAATGGTGCCGAACGGTTGCAAATGCTTCCTGAGAGGTTTCGTAGTCGAAACAGAATGCTTTTATCACAGGACAAGAAATCAGCCCTCGACAACTTAACCGGCAGAAAAAGATTCTTTGGAAAAAAACCCTAAGCCCCGGGGTCACAATTTCATAAAAAATCTGACTTTCGGCAATTCACTCAAAAATGGTGCCGAACGGTTGAAAATGCTCCCCTGAAAGGTTTGGCGGTCGAAACAGAAGGCTTTTTATCACACGACAAGAAATCAGCCCTCGACAACTTAACCAGCAAAAAAGATTTTCTTGAAAAAATCCCTAAGCCCCGGGGTCAAAATTTCATAAAAAATCTGACTTTCGTCAATTCAATCAAACATGGTTACAAAGGGATGCAAATGATCCCTGAAAGGTTTGGCGATCGAAACAGAAGGCTTTTATCACAGGACAAGAAATCAGCCCTCAACAACTTAACCGGCAGAAAAGATTCTTTTGAAAAAACCCTAAGCCCCACGGTCACAATTTCATAAAAAATCTGTCGTTCCGCAATACACTCAAAAATGGTGCCGAACGGTTGCAAATGCTCCCCTGAAAGGTTTGTTAGTCGAAACAGAAGGATTTTTATCACAGGACAAGAAATCAACACTCGACAACTTTACCAGGGGATAAAGATTTTTTTAAAAAAATCCGTAAGCCCCGAGGTCACAATTTCAGAAAAAAATCTGATTTTCAGCAATGCACTCAAAAATGGTGCCAAACGGTTGCAAATGCTCCCCTGAAAGGTTTGGCGGTCGAAACAGAAGATTTTTATCCCAGGACAAGAAATCAGCCCTCGACAACTTTAATTGAAAAAATCCCTAAGTCACAATTTCATTAAAAAATCTGCCGTTCGGCAATTCACTCAAAAATGGTGCCAAACGGATGTAAGGACTTTTTATCACAGGACTTTTTATCACAGGACAAGAAATCTGGCCTCGACAACTTAACGGGAAGAAAAAGATTTTTTTGAAAAAATCCCTAAGTCACAATTTCATTAAAAAAATCTGCCGTTCGACAACTCACTCAAAAATGGTGCCAAACGGCTGTAAATGCTCCCCTGAGAGGTTTGGGGATGGAAGTAGAAGACTTTTGATCACAGTACAAGAAATCAGCCCTCGAAAACTTAACCGGGAAAAAAAGATTTTCTTGAAAAAATCCCTAAGCCCCGGGGTCACAATTTCATCAAAAATCTAACTTTCGGCAATTCACTCAGAAATGTGCCAAATGTTTGCAAATGCTCCCCTGAGTGGTTTGGCAGTTGAAACAGAAATATTTTTATCACAGGAAAAGAAATCTTCCTTCGACAACTTCACCGACAGAAAAACATTTTTTTGAAAAAATCCCTAAGCCCCGGGGTCACAATTTCATCAAAAATCTAACTTTCGGCAATTCACTCAAAAATGGTGCCAAACGGTTCAAAATGCTCCCCTGAAAGGTTTCGCGGGAAACAGAAGACGTTTTATCAGAGGACAAGAAATGAGGCTTCGACAACCTTACGGGCAGAAAAATATTTTTTTCAAAAAAATCCTCCCCTGAGAGGTTTGGCAGTCGAAACAGAAGGCTTTTTATCACAGGACAAGAAATCAACCCTCGACAACTTAACCGGCAGAAAAGATTTTTGAAAAAATCCCTAAACCCTGGGGTCACGATTTCTTCAAAAATCTGACTTTTGGCAATTCACTCAAAAATAGCGCCAAATGGTCGCAAATGCTCCCCTGAAAGGTTTGGCAGTCGAAACAGAAGGCTTTTTATCACCGGAAAAGAAATCAGGGATTTTTTTGAAAAAATCCCTAAGCCCCGGTTCAAAAATCTAACTTTCGGCAATTCACTCAAAAATGGTGCCAAACGGTTAGAAATGCTCCCTTGAAAGGTTTGGCGGTCGAAACGTAAGGCTTTTTATCACAGGAGAAGAAATCAGCCCTCGACAACTTCACCAGCAGAAAAACATTTTTTCTAAACAACTCCCTAAGACGCATGGTCACAATTTCTTCAAAAATCTGACTTTTGGCAATTCACTCAAAAATGGTGCCAAATGTTTGCAAATGCTCCCCTGAGAGGTTTGGCGGTCCAAACAGAAGGCTTTTTATCACAGGACAAGAAATCAGCCCTCGACAACTTAACCGGCAGAAAAAGATTTTGTTGAAAAAATCCCTAAGCCCCGGGGTCACAATTTCATAAAAAATCTGACTTTCGGCAATTGACTCAAAAATGCTGCCGAACGGTTGCAAATGCTCCCCTGAGAGGTTTGGCGGTCGAAACAGAAGCCTTTTTGTAACAGGACAAAAAATCAGCCCTCGACAACTTTACGGGCAGAAAAATATTTTTTTCAAAAAAATCCCTAAGCCCCGGGGTCACAATTTTAGAAATAATTTGACTTTCGCAATTCACTCAAAAATGGTGCCAAACCGTCGCAAATGCTCCCCTGAAATGTTTGGCACTCGAAACGGAAGGCTTTTTATCACAGCACAAGAAATCAGCCCTCGACAACTTAACCGGCAGAAAAAGATTTTTCTGAACAACTCCCTAAGACGCGTGGTCACAATTTCATAAAAAATCTGACTTTTGGCAATTCATTCAAAAATGGTGCCAAGCGGTTGCAAATGGTCCCCTGAGAAGTTTGGCGGTCGAAACAGAAGACTGTTTATCACAGGACACGAAATTAGCTCTTGACAACTTAACCAGCAGAAAAAGGTTTTTTAAAAATCCCTAAGCCCCGGGTCACAATTTCATCAAAAATCTGACTTTCGGCATTTCACTCAAAAATGGTGCCAAACGTTTGCAAATGCTCCCCTGACAGGTTTGGCGGTCGAAACAGAAGCCTTTTTGTAACAGGACAAGAAGTCAGCCCTTGACAACTTAACCGGCAGAAAAAGATTTTTTGAAAAAATCCCTAAGCCCTGGGGTCACAATTTCTTCAAAAATCTGACTTTTGGCAATTCACTCAAAAATAGTGCCAAATGTTTGCAAATGCTCCCCTGAAAGGTTTGGCAGTCGAAACAGAATGCTTTTTATCACAGGAAAAGAAATTAGCCCTCGACAACTTAACCGGCAGAAAAAGATTTTTTTGAAAAAATCCCTAAGCCCCGGTTCAAAAATCTAACTTTCGGCAATTCACTCGAAAATGGTACCAAACGGTTGCAAATGCTCCCCTGAAAGGTTTGGGGGTCGAAACAGAAGGCTTTTTATCACAGGACAAGAAATCAGCCCTCGACAACTTAACCGGAAGAAAAAAATTTTTTGAAAAAATCCCTAAGCCCCGGGGTCACAATTTCATCAAAATTTGACTTTTGGATTTTCACTCAAAAATGGTGCCAAACGATTGCAAATGCTCCCCTGAAAGGTTTGGCGGTCGAAACAGAAGGCTTTTTATCATCGGACCGAAAATCAGCGCTCAACAACTTAATCGGAAAAAAAGATTTTTTCAAAAAAATCCCTAAGCCCCGGGGTCAAAATTTCATAAAAAATCTGACTTTCGTCAATTCACTCAAAAATGGTGCCAAATGGTTGCTAATGCTCCCCTGAAAGGTTTGGTGTTCGAAACAGGAGGCTTTTTATCACAGGACAAGAAATCAACCCTCGACAACTTAACCGGCAGAAAAATATTCTTTTGAAAAACCCCTAAGCCCCGGGGTCACAATTTCATCAAAAATCTGACTTTCGGCAATTCACTCAAAAATGGTGGCAAACGGTTGCAATTCCTCCCTTGAGAGGTTTGGGGGTCGAAACAGAAGGCTTTTTATCACAGGACAAGAAATCAGCCCTGGAGAACTTCACCGGGAGAAAAAGATTTTGTTGAAAAAATCCCTAAGCCCAGGGGTCACAATTTCATCAAAAATCTGACTTTCGGCAATTCACTCAAAAATGGTGCCAAATGATTGCAAATGCTCCCCTGAGAGGTTTGGCGGTCCAAACAGAAGGCTTTTTATCACAGGACAAGAAATCAGCCCTCGACAACTTAACCGGCAGAAAAAGATTTTGTTGAAAAAATCCCTAAGCCCCGGGGTCACAATTTCATAAAAAATCTGACTTTCGGCAATTGACTCAAAAATGCTGCCGAACGGTTGCAAATGCTCCCTGAGAGGTTTGGCGGTCGAAACAGAAGCCTTTTGTAACAGGACAAAGAATCAGCCCTCGACAACTTTACGGGCAGAAAAATATTTTTTTCAAAAAAATCCCTAAGCCCCGGGGTCACAATTTTAGAAATAATTTGACTTTCGCAATTCACTCAAAAATGGTGCCAAACCGTCGCAAATGCTCCCCTGAAATGTTTGGCACTCGAAACGGAAGGCTTTTTATCACAGCACAAGAAATCAGCCCTTGACAACTTCACCAGCAGAAAAACATTTTTTCTGAACAACTCCCTAAGACGCGTGGTCACAATTTCATAAAAAATCTGACTTTTGGCAATTCATTCAAAAATGGTGCCAAGCGGTTGCAAATGGTCCCCTGAGAAGTTTGGCGGTCGAAACAGAAGACTGTTTATCACAGGACACGAAATTAGCTCTTGACAACTTAACCAGCAGAAAAAGGTTTTTTTAAAAAATCCCTAAGCCCCGGGGTCACAATTTCATCAAAAATCTGACTTTCGGCATTTCACTCAAAAATGGTGCCAAACGTTTGCAAATGCTCCCCTGACAGGTTTGGCGGTCGAAACAGAAGCCTTTTTGTAACAGGACAAGAAGTCAGCCCTTGACAACTTAACCGGCAGAAAAAGATTTTTTGAAAAAATCCCTAAGCCCTGGGGTCACAATTTCTTCAAAAATCTGACTTTTGGCAATTCACTCAAAAATAGTGCCAAATGTTTGCAAATGCTCCCCTGAAAGGTTTGGCAGTCGAAACAGAATGCTTTTTATCACAGGAAAAGAAATTAGCCCTCGACAACTTAACTGGCAGAAAAGATTTTTTGAAAAAATCCCTAAGCCCAGGTTCAAAAATCTAACTTTCGGCAATTCACTCGAAAATGGTACCAAACGGTTGCAAATGCTCCCCTGAAAGGTTTGGGGGTCGAAACAGAAGGCTTTTATCACAGGACAAGAAATCAGCCCTCGACAACTTAACCGGAAGAAAAAAATTTTTTGAAAAAATCCCTAAGCCCCGGGTC